TAAACGTCCCAACTGTGGAAGATGAAATAATAAGGGTGATAATAAAGAACCACAAATCTATGTTGAGTCAACATGAAAATAATGAGATGGTAGATATATTAAATAATCACGAAAATATCCTCAGAAGGCTAAACCGCAGGAAGCCGCTCGATCTTAAGTGTAACGGAGGTATTTGGGGGAATCATCACAGGATGTTGGCCCAACAAACGTGATTTTTAGAACTGGCGAAGAAAGGATTGCTAGATAGACCGAATGGTTCTAGTTGCAATAATAATTGATAAAAAAAAAAAAAAAAAACGAAAGTAATACACGTAGCAAACAACTTAAAGATACAAAAAAAGTCCAACAAACTCTTAATTCAAAACTAATTGATTGTCTAGCTAAAAATGCTATTGAAGATTATCTTCAGTAGATATTAAACCACTTTTACAACTTTCAAAGGAAATTACAATGTATATTCTAGATTACAGTAACAGAGTAAATACAAAAAAAAAGAATAAAAAGCCCTTGTTAAGAGTTTCGCGATATTCTGTCCGAAGAAGGATACAACTAGAAAATATTTGGCTTCAATGTTTTTTCAAAAATTTCGTGTCTTCTTTTAATATTTCTAATTTCTTCTTAGACCTAATTGACACGTTTAATGAAAAATGACAACGACAAATCTGTACAAAAATCTTTTTATATTCTATCTATTTAACTTATGATTTATAAAGACGCACGAACTCTGTATTTTTCTACAAAAATATCGATTTATTATAAAAAGATCAATTAAAAGAAAGATTTCGATGTCTTTCACATCCCTACTATTAAACAAGGAAGTATGTGGTTTTGTACTCCACGTTCTTTTTAAATCAAATTGTGCAAGAGTTGGTTCAGCGCTGATCAATATAAAATAAAATTGATTAACTCGACCAGAAATTTTGAATATGGTAATTTGTTTCATTATTAAGAATTAAAAGCAGAATACAATATGTATTAAGTTCGTAGTGTTCTTTTCTGTTAATTTTAAAATTATGGAGTTAATATATAACCTATAATTTAGGCTGCTACGGCGAAAGATATTGAAAAGCCACAAGCTGATTCGGCTCCTGTACATAGGATCAGAATTACACTTACGTCGCGTAATGTAAGATCATTAGAAAATGTTTGCCGGGATTTAATTCAAGGAGCAAAAAATCAAAAGTTGCGTGTTAAGGTATGCATTAATATAAAAAATTAATCATGTATAAAGAGCAAATCACCAAGACGCATTTACCTGGAGATGTAAAGCAAATGTCTTATCATCTAGTATCAAAAGTGCAAAATTAATTAACTTGTTTAGAAATATCTCATGAAATTATATACATACATATATCGTGAAATGCTAAATAAGCGAACAGTTTCCAAAATTATTTAATTTTTTTTTGTATAAATGTTATTTTTTTATATAGGGTCCCGTACGTATGCCAACAAAAGTGCTCCGTATTACAACTAGGAAAACACCTTGCGGAGAAGGTTCTAAAACATGGGATAGATTCCAGGTAAAATTGATTATACCACAATGTTTTCTGGCTACTTTGTTTATTCTTGTGTTTAAGATAATGAAAATACATTAAACTAGTTGCCTAAATTAAACGAACTCTCATAGTCCTGAAAAGATGTTATTAACCTTTTAGGCTTCCCGAGTTTGATATTTTTTCGGCTACATGCATACATATGTATATATTATCTAGCTAAATTAATGTTTAAATGTCAAATTGCATTTTTAGATGAGAATCCACAAAAGAATAATTGACCTTCACTCGCCATCTGAAGTAGTAAGGAAAATAACTTCTATTAATATTGAACCTGGTGTAGAAGTTGAGGTAACAATCGCCAATTAAACTTAATGAAATACATAAGTACATGCAATAGGTACATTTATATATTGTGGTAAAATATGCATTTGTTATTTCAATAAATGAAACTTATACCAACAAGCAGAAATTTTCAAGAAATATAGATGTTTTTTGATTACTTTAAGTAACTAAGGCCCTTATGATCGCTTTAAGTAACTAAAGCTTACTTATGGTATTATTCATCTAAAATTTAGGCGAATGAACATTCAAATTTGAATGAAAATTTTGTGACAAGTTTGGCGAATGATACCAAAAATCAAAATAATACATGAATGAAACCATTCGCCAAATTTAAAATGTCATTCAGTTATTTATTAATTAGAATTTAGTTTATATAATCGACAATATTTCATATTGTTAATATTTTTGTGTTTACAAGGTAAGACACGCCGCAAATTCTTTAACGTCAAAATTTTGATTTTAGTCTGCAAACTGTCTGAAACTAAAACTTTTACGGACAGAAATCTAGTAAACTTTTTACCCGTAATTGACTTTGAATTTTGATCATCCGTAAACGTCAAAACAAAAAAAAATTTTTTTTTAGATTTAAAATAATTTTATACTTACATATTAAAAATTAACAATAAAAATATTTTTTATATTATTTTTAACGTAATGATAGTCACTCAACACATGAAATTTATTTACTGAATTACGTAAGACTGTCTGCATGTAAAAAAAAAAATCTACAATTTTGACGCTTAATTGACTTTTTTTAAACGTTTAAGAATTTAAACTTTGACTGAGAGTAAAAACGTAGTAGAGTATCCGTAAACTCAGACAACTCAGATTTTGTAAAATTTGACGTTTAAGAATTTACCAACGGAATTAAGGTATTTCATCAATTATGGCCATTATAATTGGTAAAATGAAGGAAATTTTAACAAGAAAACTTACTTTAATAATCCTTCAATATCTGAATTGAAATTTAAAATTTTTTTGAATTTTAAGATATTGAAGGATTATCAAAGTAAGTTTTCTTGTTAAAATTTCCATATTTTGCAGTGAATTGGAGGGCGAAAATTATTGCGATAATATCTCATAAAGAGTGTCATTTCTGTTATTTTCGAACGACTGATTATTTAGAAGTTTCAGAATTTGTAGACTGCGTAAACTAATAAACTTAGCTGAAGTTTTTGCATACTGTTTAACGCTGCGGCTTAGAAATTTTAGTTCTAATGTAGAACTTTCAGCGCAGCGTGCATAAACGAAAACCTCCATATTCAGTCCTTGTCATAAATTTCGTTCGTATCTCCGAAATTCGGAAAATTATGAATTTCATAATCTCAATTCCGAATTATTAAAATTCTATTACGAATATTAGAAATAAAGTAATCATAAATTACATTCGGAGTAAAAATAGCTCTCAATAGTCTACGAAAGTAATAGACGTAGCAAACAACTTAAAGGTGGATATGCTCAAGTTTTCAATTTTTTTTATCATTTAAAAGCTAAATTCGTAATTTGTAGTATTCTACGAAGGGAGTTCATGGTATGGCTGATAAAAATGTTTTTTAATTTTTACTTTAAAAAAATAATTTAACAAATCTTTCTTAAAAATTCCGCATATTTTATAATAGAGGTCAGATAAGAAGATAAAAGAAATACGCTCCTGCTACGGCTTTGACAATACTTGAAACAAAGAGACAACTAGAAAAAATTTGAGTTCATTGTTTTTTTTAAGATGGTTCCTCCTTCAATATTTCTAATTCGTTGGTATGAACATTCTTTATTGCATGGTCCCTTTGAATAGTCGCTCCCTTACTTAAAAATTTACTTTTCAAAAACCATTGATGTTGCTTTTGAAAAAATTGAATGATGGAGTTTTAACAAAGAATTTTCCATTGATAGTGGTCATGATGTACATAGTTATTTCTAAAACTCTTAACAAAGATTAATTTAAGAAGCATCAAAATATTACAATTTCATAAATGCAATACAAAAAAAAACTGCGAAACGTAATATGTACTGCAAAAACATTTCATATGATTTAATTGCGGTATTTATTCTAATTTCGCTATACATATTGTTAAAGCCATATTTACAAACAAATTAGGTAACGAACATTTTAAGCTGCGTTTATAACCAATATTGTTCGATTTGCTCAATTTCGAATTGCTGAAAGCTTTCATAATTGTCTGCGATGTAACGATCATGTGCTGATGATTATTTTCAATGATGTCAGAATCGTCGATTGTTGGAATTATTTGCATTTGTAATTGATCACTACGAAAATCAAAGTGACGCTGTTTGACATTATATGATTATATCATATAAATTATATGACAAAACAACACATATTTATTAAAAACTTTAGTTAATATATACACCCTTATAATGATCGGTGAAGCGAATGAGTAGGCGAATTGAATATTTCAAGTTATGAAATGTTGTGACTTGTGACCACAAGGCATCAGAAATCCTACCAACAATAATAAGGCTACACCACACATTTGAATTTTTGTATCCTTTAGCAATTACCAGATTATTATCAATCTATTTATTTGAATGCTCGAACTGTTTTTGGTTTGTTTTTTCACGCTTAAATCAATATTAAACAATCAATTGTTTTTTACAATAATTTGTTGAATTCCATTATATCACTATAAATGTTATTATATCCAATAAAAAAAAAAACGTATTATTTGATTTTTGCTTTCATTCGCCAAGTTTGTCACACTAAATTTCCATTCGAGATTTAAATGCTCATTTGCGTAAAATTTAGGCAAATTCGCTAATCATAATACCAAAAATTTCCTTCATTTTGCCAATCATAAGGGCAATAATTGATCAAATACTTTAATTCCGTGTGTTATCTTGTAAACACAAAAATATTAGCAATATGAAATATTGTCGATTATATAAAATAAATTCTAATTAATAAATAACTGTGCATCAATTTTTCATTGCGAATCGAATGACATTTTAAATTTGGCGAATGGTTTCATTCATGTATTATTTTGATTTTTGGTATCATTCGCCAAACTTGTCACACAAACTTTTCATTCAAATTTGAATGCTCATTCGCCTAAATTTTAGATGAATAATACCATAAGTAAGCTCTAGTTACTTAAAGCGATCATAAGGGCCTTAGTTACTTAAAGTAATCAAAAAACATCTATATTTCTTGAAAATTTCTGCTTGTTGGTTTAAGTTTCATTTATTGAAATAACAAATGCATATTTTACCACAATATATAAATGTACCTATTGCATGTACTTATGTATTTCATTAAGTTTAATTGGCGATTGTTACCTCAACTTCTACACCAGGTTCAATATTAATAGAAGTTATTTTCCTTACTACTTCAGATGGCGAGTGAAGGTCAATTATTCTTTTGTGGATTCTCATCTAAAAATGCAATTTGACATTTAAACATTAATTTAGCTAGATAATATATACATATGTATGCATGTAGCCGAAAAAATATCAAACTCGGGAAGCCTAAAAGGTTAATAACATCTTTTCAGGACTATGAGAGTTCGTTTAATTTAGGCAACTAGTTTAATGTATTTTTATTATCTTAAACACAAGAATAAACAAAGTAGCCAGAAAACATTGTGGTATAATCAATTTTACCTGGAATCTATCCCATGTTTTAGAACCTTCTCCGCAAGGTGTTTTCCTAGTTGTAATACGGAGCACTTTTGTTGGCATACGTACGGGACCCTATATAAAAAAATAACATTTATACAAAAAAAAAATTAAATAATTTTGGAAACTGTTCGCTTATTTAGCATTTCACGATATATGTATGTATATAATTTCATGAGATATTTCTAAACAAGTTAATTAATTTTGCACTTTTGATACTAGATGATAAGACATTTGCTTTACATCTCCAGGTAAATGCGTCTTGGTGATTTGCTCTTTATACATGATTAATTTTTTATATTAATGCATACCTTAACACGCAACTTTTGATTTTTTGCTCCTTGAATTAAATCCCGGCAAACATTTTCTAATGATCTTACATTACGCGACGTAAGTGTAATTCTGATCCTATGTACAGGAGCCGAATCAGCTTGTGGCTTTTCAATATCTTTCGCCGTAGCAGCCTAAATTATAGGTTATATATTAACTCCATAATTTTAAAATTAACAGAAAACAACACTACGAACTTAATACATATTGTATTCTGCTTTTAATTCTTAATAATGAAACAAATTACCATATTCAAAATTTCTGGTCGAGTTAATCAATTTTATTGTATATTGATCAGCGCTGAACCAACTCTTGCACAATTTGATTTAAAAAGAACGTGGAGTACAAAACCACATACTTCCTTGTTTAATAGTAGGGATGTGAAAGACATCGAAATCTTTCTTTTAATTGATCTTTTTATAATAAATCGATATTTTTGTAGAAAAATACAGAGTTCGTGCGTCTTTATAAATCATAAGTTAAATAGATAGAATATAAAAAGATTTTTGTACAGATTTGTCGTTGTCATTTTTCATTAAACGTGTCAATTAGGTCTAAGAAGAAATTAGAAATATTAAAAGAAGACACGAAATTTTTGAAAAAACATTGAAGCCAAATATTTTCTAGTTGTATCCTTCTTCGGACAGAATATCGCGAAACTCTTGACAAGGGCTTTTTATTCTTTTTTTTATATTTACTCTGTTACTGTAATCTACAATATACATTGTACATAATTGCCTTTGAAAGTTGTAAAAGTAGTTCAATATCTACTGAAGATAATCTTCAATAGCATTTTTAGCTAGACAATCAATTAGTTTTGAATTAAGAGTTTGTTGGACATAGATATAGTGGGAATCACATACAATTGTGGTTTCTATTTGAGGCACTTCTCTTGTAAAGAGTTGATATAGTATTGGCCCCAAAATGCTGCCCTGAGGCACACCTGCTCTTATTTCTCTAAGTGTGGAAGTGTCCACCTCCTGTTTGACTCTAAATAATCTGTCGGTTTTGGAAATATTTTTTCTAACTTGTATATTAATCCTTCGTGCCAAACCTTCTCAAAAGCCTGTGCCACGTCTACAAAAATTGTTGCATAAATTTTCTTTTCCTCTAGAACTTGCTCATTTGTAATTCTATGAACTTGATCAGTAGTTGAATGGCTCTAAACCCAAATTGGTGGTTCGAAATTAATGACCTCTCCTCAATTATAGGACGCATTTTTTTTAGTAATAACTTTTCAAAAACTTTCGACAGAATTGGTAGCAGAGAAATTGGTCTATAAGACTTGGTCTCATTCAAATGTTTACCAAATTTTGGTATCATTATAATTTCAACCACCTTCCAAGCATTAGGCAAATATTTTAATCTAAATGCAGAATTCTTAAAAAAACTTAATAATGTTATACTCTTTTTTGTTAATTGCTTTAGTACCTTAGAGGTAATTAAATTATAATTCGGTGCTTTCCTTGACTTTAAACTTTTTATTTCTTCCAATATTTCTCTTTTTGCAATTGAAGCGATAACGTTTTCTGCTCTCATATTTCCCATTACAATATTTATGTTTGAGTGTATGTCATTTGGCCTAAAAATTTGTTCAAGATGATCTGCAAATATTTCAGCCTTATCCTTATTTTATTTTGCCCATTTGCCATCCGTTCCCCTAATGTGGGGGGACATGTAAGATTGGCTTTTTAATATTTTTTGCAGCCCTCCATAAGGAAAAATTACTTTCTTGTCCGGCAGACAAATTTTTAATGTAATTATCAAATGAATGTTGTTTGATTTTTCTTATTTTTCTTTTTACATAGTGTTTCCGTGAGTCGATTGAGTGCAGTTTTATCTGCCGAATCTCGTGAGTTTCTCCATCTGCGTCTAGTTCTTTCCTGTTTTTGCTTATCATATTAAGTATTTCTTTTGGGTAAGTCATACACACGGATTTATACTCATATTGTTTTATATTATTCCAGGCAGCACTTTGTATGATTTTATTAAAATTCTCTACCTCAGAATCCAAATCATCTTAGGTTCGTAATTTAATTCATAAGTTTATTTTGTTCTCTATCTCTTCTTTAACATTAGTCTAGTCAATGGATTTATTAATCAACATTGACCTATTTTGTTTCTTGGTAACTGTCTCAGTTAAATTTAATATAACTGCAGAATGATCCGAATCAAAATCATAGTTTACTTCTAAATTAATGAAATTTGGCGAGATTTTCTTGACAATAAAGAAGTCTAGCAGATGTGGTATTTTATTTCTAACACTTAGCCAATATGTTGGTCTACCAGTGGATTGGTAGTGACAGCCAATCTCTTCAATAGCTTTTCTCAGCTCTCTACCTCTTGTTGAGGTCAATCTAGACTCCAATCAATATGTTTGGCATTATAGTCACCTCAAAGAATAAACCTTTCTTTAAGGAGATTCAGGAGATCTTTGAATGAAAAACTTTTTATAACACGTCCCGGAGGACAGTAAAGTACACCAGCATCGAAATTTTCTTTATAAGACTCTATTCGTACAGCAACAAAATGGCTATCGTCTCTTTCTACTTTACTTATTTCATTAAGTTTTATCTTAATGAAATCTTCTGATTCATTATAAGGATGCGCCGCTTTATATTCTATGCCACTATTTATTTTTATATCTGTTTGCTCTTTTAAATGTGCCTCCGTTATTAAACATATATCAATATTTTGGGTCCTCGGGAATATTTCTAATATACGTTTTTTTATTGAGAACGTCTTTTGCGTTCCACGTCGCAAATCTTATTTTTTCTTCGTCCATTATTTTTTATTTTTTTTGGCGCACATACATAAATATTATCATGCTTGTCTTCTAATCTCCTCAATTTTAATGATTTTTCGTTCATAGTTTTGATCATATTTTGTATTATTGCCATTATATTTATATTGCTTTCAGTAGGTTTTTGAGGTGGTAAATCTCTTTATTCTTTGGTATCGTTATATGTTTCAACCCTCGCCACTTGGGCATATTGTGTTCCCTGCACTCTGTTACTCAATGTAGTAGTTTTTAGGGTTTTTGGAATTTTGAGAGTATTTTTTGGTATTATTTCTGTTTGTTTATGTTTCGCAAGGTTATTTTTTGTAATTCGTTTGCATTATACAACCCCGGTAACTCGCAGGATGTGCCTCAGAGCATTTTGCACATTTTGGAGCTTAATATTTTGCTTACTACAATTTATCGTCAAATGAGGACCAGCACACTTGACACATTGTACTAGACGCTGGCAAAACCTCTGTGTGTGCCCATACCTCTGACACCTTCTGCATTAAGGAACTAAATTATTCCTCCTCAGTGACTCAATTTGAATCTTCATGTGCTGAAATACATCTATTTTGTAAATTTTATTTATGTCCGTCGAATTTTCAAAAATTAACATGAAGAGGGCAAATCCGATCATAGTTACCTTGTTTTGTTTGTTCTGCCTTCTAATTTTATTAAAGACTTCAAGAACTTTAAAGCCCTCTCTTTTACGTCATTTTTAAGATCTCTAGGTTGGCACGAAGGATGTAAACCTCTTGTCATTTTAATTTCGTAGGTATGCCACTCTACTTTAGATTCAATTATTTTTTTGTTAATTCTCTGTAATCTTGTTCTTCATCAACATTGATTTTAAGTTGATAATTATTCATCATATTGACCCTAAAGTTTACTTTAGCTTCTTTGAGCATCCCTAATTTTGGATATTCCTCTGCATTGCTTAATATAACAGGAGGAGGTTTGATCTTTCAAAACACTACAATGTTTGATTTTTCTTGTAGTGCATTTATCTGCACAGATTTTTTTATTTTGCTCACCTCGTCTTCCGGACTTATTTCAGGTGCCATATCTGCTCCTCGCTTTTCGCTTTTTCTCTTGAGAATTTAATCGGTTTCCCGAGCCAGATCCTCCTCATCTGTGTAGTTTTCCACTTTGCATGTCGTAACTTTTCACATTGCTTGATTCCAATTTTTTAATTCCTTACAAAGCGTTTTTAGCTTACTTATTCTTATATTTAAATGGCAGTTATCAGTTTTCTGATCTTTTATTTCATTAACTGTACCCGTATTGGTATTTTTCTGTTTGTCGCCTTGGGATATATTTTCTTTGCTTTTACCACATGGTGGTGTTCGGATGACTCCAGGTGTTTTCTTAAAAGGTTCAGTAGTAGGTGTTTGATGCAATAAGTGGTATCCCCCAGAATCAGTGAAACCAGCCTGCGAAGAGTGTTGATTTTCCAGATTCACTGGATTACTACCTGAGGTATAAAATCCTTTTGTTTTGTTCATTGCATTGATTTTGTTTTATTTCGGAGTTTACTTCTCCTAGCCTTTGGAAATAAATACCTTGTGCAAAGTAGCACGCCCAATTTCTGCTGTCCCTCACGGATTAGTCGCAGAACAGACAGCCATCCATTCTGGATGAGGCGCTTCTGGATTTATACTGGATTTTAGTGAGCTCTTACCACAAGCATTCCTACTGCGAGTATTTCGCACCCCGGAAAACTTTGTCAATCCAAACTATATGAATTTTGAATTTTAAAAACTAAAAAACTGCCAAAGGACTTATTTTCAAAATAATTGACAAAAAAAGCATCAATTTCTTTTAATTCCTCAATCAAAATTTTAATTTAAATGCTTGATTGATATATTTACATGGGCAATCTTCATCAATATCAATTATGATTGTCACTCTTTAATTAACATCTAAACAGTAACATAGAAGTCACGCTTATTTATTAACTAAAATCCCAAAACTTTGAATGTTTATCTCTTGTGCCAGTAGGTCGCAAACTTTCTGAAGAAAAATGAAATGTTTGGGAATATTCAGTTTCTATTTGCCTACGATCAGAAAGAGACTTGTCTGAAGGTTTTGGTTTCACGTTGTAACGATTTCTTAATAAAAGATTTTACTAAAAGCCACGGCTGATAGAAATAGAGGCTTGGACACTAGGAGAAAGTGACAGTTCACACCTGACGAATTTACACGTATTCTTATGGGATGTATAGAGAGCCCTTTTTAACATCATAAATCTCCACAAAATCAACTTTTTTCAAATTTTTAATTAGAAAAAGTTAAAATTCAATCTTTTTCTACTTTATTAGTTAAGTTTTGTGTAATCAAAACATCAAAAAATTAGTTTAAAAAAAACCTTCCAGGTTCCGTTCATTTTCTTAAGTTTTCAATAAATGCTAGGTACAATCGTGCATTTTTTTTTCCAAATATTTAGTTGATTTTGGAGTATTTCTTCAAATTTTAGAAAATGTACATTTGATATTAACGAGTTTACTAATTTTGTATGAGATGTCTTCCAAAATGTATACTTCTTATATAATCATATAAATATCTATATATTTTTCATGTCAATACTATATTAATTAAATTTATATGCCTCATAATTCAT